CTGCTGTAGGTGACCCTGCTTCGGCAGGAGGGTTGGACTAGATGACCCACAGAGGTCCCTTTCAACCCCTACTATTCTGTGATTCTGTGATTCTGTGACTCAGTGCTGCTGTGGTGGTGCCTTGTGCTGGCGGATGTATTACCATTTCTCTGGCAATGTAAATACAGTGAAAAGCTTCATTGTCTTCCCTGACCTATACGTGGTTTCGAATTCCTTCATGTCAGAAGATGTATAGGTGTGCAGCACCAAGGTTATTCTATATGTGCAGGCCCATGGAGCTACTTTAATACCAGGATCAGAATTAAGAGTAGAACTGCTTTAGTATTTTACCTTAACATGGACAAAATACAAGTTTCTAAGCCTGCATAGCCTACAAGAGCAAGAGGTGTAAGAATACCACACCACGATCAACAGACAGAACAAGCGTAGTATTCTGCGAAACTGAAATAATTGTGCAGAACCTTATATTTAGGGAAACATACAAGTTTTTTAATTTCTTATCTACTTAAAATAATCAAAGGATAAACTAGATTTTCACAAATCAACATGTTGACTCTGAAAACACTTGCAATCCAAAAATGTGGGGTTTTTAAAAATTTTTTAAAAAATACCTCCCATACCTCCTTACACCTCCCCACTAGTGCAGCAAGACAGATGCTTTACTCAAACTGTAGAGAAAATAAACTTTCCCTTCCAAAATCTGTTTTTCACAGCTACTTCATAACACATTTTAAACAGAATACTTCCTATCTTGTATATCTGGAATACACGTGCACAATACCTTATACCAGTGTACTTCAGGCTGATTATTGTCTTCATCTTTAAAATGTTCTAGATCAGGGCATATCATCTTTCCAGTATTTCTGCTCATCACTATTTGCTCAAACTTCATTTTTCCATTAAAACACAAACCGTTATCATTCTTAAAAACTGTTAAACTTACAGTTTTTTGGTTAGAGTGGTTAAAGCTCCTGTAACGAGAACAGCAGACAAGTCATTAATAACAAGGTTCCCTGTTTCCAGCAAGTCAGGGAGTTTACGGAGTGGGACCTCAGCACCTCCACCAGCCTTGCCTCTTATGCCCGTGCTACAGCCCCCTCCCCCCAGCTCTTACACACCGCCCTCAGCTCCTCGCCCCCTGTTCCAGATTGAGAGAGATGGGAATAAGCTCTGAATAATACTTCCTCTCTCCAGAAGTGGAAACACAAGAGGGGATGCCAGGACTTCTCAGAGCTGACGCTCCGCGGAGCCCACGGCACCAACCCAGCCTCACCATTTTCAACACTAGGTTTGCCAACACACAGTAGTGCAGCGTAACCCAAAGTGTATCTGCACTGGAACACCCTCGGTGCCACATGAACAGGAGAAGACGGGTTCATGTCAGTGTTCCTTGGAGGGACGTATCAAGAAAAACAGGCGGTCACTCTTGGCAGAAGAGAACAAAGCTTCTGAATAATATATACATCAAGGTGCACTATCATTGTGAAACCCCTTCATACTGACAGCTCGCAAGAACCTGTGGTACCTTGGCTCTACAGAGGAGAGATGGCACTAGAAGCCAGAAGCCTAAGCCAGAAGTAAAGGAATCCTTTCTATTAATTCATTGCTCAACTCTTGATTTCTCAATGCTATGCTAAGGGAGAAGTTTCCAGAAGAGTGAACTGCATGTTTGGACAGTCCTGGCTTCAACTTCTATACACTGCACCTTGACAAACTCTGCAATTAAGGTTTAAGTGACTGATGCTCAAAATGTAGCCTACAGTTGACACAACTGAACTGTAACAAGTTTTTTTACCCTGCTGACATTATGCAAGCCAGAGATGTGAGGTGCCCACGGGAACACACCTTGTAGCTACACTAACTAGAAATACAGCAGGAAAGACTCAATTAAAGTTATTTAACTGCGTAGCTTTGAAGGGATTACCTTTCTTTTGACTTGCAATTTTAGCTTCATTATCGACTCTGGAGCAGGAAGGTGCAAAGACCTGAGACCTGTTCCTACACTGCAAGTTTTTGCTGATCACTCTTAGTACATTCACAACCCAAACCCCTTCACCATAACTGGTGTACTGCATGCACACCAGTACACGTAACTACACACTACTAAAACAAATTTTGGGTCACCTGAAAAGCCTGCATTGGCCATTCTCCGCATGTTGTGGTAAGACCATGAGGAAATGGAACAACTTCTGTGCCCCTTCCCAAAATTAATTTCCTGTTCAGCACACAGTGAATTTCAGCCATTACAAATAAGATTTGACCAAACCCCAGTACACTAATCTGTGCTTTAAATATGACAAGAGCTTTAAAGTGTCAAAGAGCTGAAAAGAATCTATTTCTTTTTTTCTTCTTCTTTGTGCACTCAGATCTTTTGAGCAGTACTTTCACTGTCTCTAAAGCTGTCTAGCACACTGCTTTGCACTCCGCAGATATTCTCATTTTTGACCAGTAGCTTTTGATAATGTTTTATTTTAAAACTTAAGAATGGTTTTCTACCTTTTAATTTGTAAATTTCTAAAAGGATTCCCCAAAAGTTGCTAAGCTCTACAGAAAGTCTGTATGTGGTGATACTGCACAACGTGCAGTTTGCTCCTCTCAGATCCTTCTTCCATTTAACCATATCCCGTGAAGAAACAAAAATGTTCTTCTGATCTGTCAGTATCAAACAGCAATTTGAACACAGGAAAAGCCAAAGCAGTTAAGACTTTTCCCTGTGACCTTACACTTCATCCAAAACAAACAAACCACCCACACAGACCACTGTAAATATTACATGCTTTAAGGTAAGATTCCTGTATGAACCACTTTTGCAATGTCACATGTGTGGAAGAAAAAATTAAAAAGGCAGCATGCAGAAACAAAAAGCATGGTCAAAACAGTGCTTTTGACTGATCTAAGCTCTCTACCTAAAGCAAAAAATTCTGTACACTCAAGTTCCATGAATATATTACCACACTTGTAAGCACTAGCAACCCAGTTGTTTCCCTCTTCCCTTCCTTACCTTATATCACATTCATAAAGTCCAGAATCTTCCAGCGTTGCAGGAATAAACCAAAGCAAGCCCTCTCGCTGATGGATCCTGGCATCTCTCTCTGTGGTTATTGGTGTAGCACTACCATTTTTATACCACGTTAGATTGTAATCAGAGTGAAGCGTTGGCCATGTAAACATTGTGCAACTAATAGCTATAGGCTCTCCAACAAGCACAAAGTAATCACAAATAACGCATTCTTCTATTACAAAGAAAAAGAAAAACATATCAGTGCTGTATATTATCAGTATACAATTATCTTTTGTATGAAAGTAAGCATAGTTTTATGTTTTAGAAGTATTAATATCCATTCCAAGTTACACAGAATTAGAAAAAAAAAACTTTCTGCAACAATTTACCATTAAAACATCACGAGGCTACCATTTTTTGTTTGTTTAGCACCTCCTGGTTGAGGATCCAAAACACATATTTTATAAAGCTTAAGCCACTACTTCCCTCTATTAAGGTAGTCAGCAACAAGCACATGTAAGTCCAACAGCCTCCGTGCAAACCAGGATATAAGAAGATCAGGCAACACAAGCTTCACAACTCATCTTTCGTGTCCTTGTATTTGAGCATGTTAGTACGTTTGCAGAATTACCAGATTCCTAATGTAGATACTATCTATGAAAAGCATGGTGCAAACAGCAGCAGTGCAGAGCTCCTCACAGTTCTCTGGCCATTATGACTGCGGAGCCAAAAACAAACCAGGAAAAAAAAAAGGGCGGGGGGGGGGGGGGGAAACGGTTTCTGACCTGAAGCACAAGACAGTATGAAATGAAAACACGACCTCAACACATCAAAGAAGCCTGTAAACCAACATGTCATAATACAAACAAAATTTGGGGAGGCGCAGTATGTGGATTAAGAAGTCTTGACTATAATGTTTTATTTCCTTACTGTGTTCGCAATTTGTCATCTTTATAGAGAAGGCCCTTTAAATTATAAACATTATTCCAAACATAACACAAAAGGCAAGCATGAACAGAATTTTTTAAATTACGGTTGTGTAAGAAGTTGACAAGACACAACCATGCAGCCTAGCAAGCAATTTTTTAAACATCAACCAAAAAAATACCAGAGAAAAGAAGGACACACACTGCAAGAAGTCATCCAGAACCCAAATCTGCAAGCAAAAACTGCTTGGAGAATACCAGTTTAGCACAAACAGAGCAGGCCATTTGGCTATAAAGCAGTTTTTAAAAGCTTCCAAACTTTTGCATACATGTGCAACACTGATTTCCTATGAAACTGCAAAACATCTGACCGAACTTATTTTACAGTTCTTGCTGACTGACTGTATAAATACAAGGCTAATATATTTAATTTCAAAATAAACAAAGTCTTCGGTAATCATTACAGTCCCACCACCTTCCTGTCACCTAATTTAAAGATTTCCAAGTAGGTCCCTATGGAGCTTAAACTTATTCTGAGACATTAATATTAGACTGCTTATGCGAAGAGCAGCAAGCATCGTTAATTTATGTAGTCCTAAACATCACTGAAAAAATGGATCTACCATTAAAAATATTACTAATTAATTGCAAAGGAAACTGAGCCCTACTGCTTTCAGGACACAAGCACAGCATGCCTCTTAAAGAAGGCATTCAACAGCTAACTTTAAGTCAAGGAAGCCAAACTCTTTGGACTTTCTTCACGCAAATCAGGGAGTGGAGAATTAAAGCCTCAGCACCCTGAATTTATGTGGCCCAATTTAAAAATAATTATGTCAATCTGTCCATTCCATCCCTAGTGCAACTTCAATCCATCAACAGGCATTCAGCACATCTTCAATATGAAGCAGATCTTCAATATGCTGAAGCAAAAACAAACCCCAAATCCACTGTTTGCCCTCAGTAACTCTGTTCTACTAGAGACACGCAACTCGTCTCCTGGAGTTTTTCTTTTTTTGAAATTGTAATTTCAACAATGTATTTAACTTACCAGCACTGAACAAAGGTATCAGTAAAATGAGACAACCAATGACCAAAACCGTAGATGTCATCTTTTGCTGCAAAGAAGAATTTTTTTCCATTAGTGTGGTAGGAATGTTCAAGTAGCACTGTCCTCTGCACCCTGCACTACTCCTTAAAAAATCAGGAGAAACATTAGTCATCTTGGGGAGAGAAAAAAAGAGTTTGGTAATCTAGCCCCAGCCTGTGAAGATTTCAACTCCACAAAAGGCTGCTCAGTTTTCAGCTTTCTACTGGAATTTTTCCAGATTTCTACTGGATTAACTCTTGCATAAAGTGTAATTTTCTTTTGCCAGCATAATTAAGCCCCCCCACCCACCCAAAACCCCTCTAGAATTAGACACGTTATGCTACCACACAGTGCTTTAAGCTATACTGTGTAATTTAGATACCAAGCTCAATTAAGCTACTTCTCTGTCCACATGTTTACGAGAGACACAATCGCAGAGATGTATGAGGTTTTGTTCTTCGAGCTGTTCTTGTACAGTTGAGGCAGCACTGCTTTTAAGAGCAGATGAACTTGTAGTTCTTTGCTGAAGAACAAGCACACTGTTAACTCCACTGCGATCTAGCAGGCACTTAAATTGGCATCTGAAGTCCAACGTGTGTGGAAACCACAGCTAATATGAATTGCTGTGGTCAGACACAAAACAAAGTGTTCAAGAATTGTAGTTTCACTTCACACCTCAGGTCATCTTTGCAGTCTTCTCCAACAAAGACATGACTGAACAGACACCTACTGCCCTCATGGCCCACAGGTGGCTTCCACAAAACCTCTAAATCTTAACCAAGTACTGCTTCCCTCTCAGATGTACCTGCTTTGTCTTGACAAGATGTCATCAGAGCCCTTCCCAAGCTGTCTACTGTCAGCAAGGCGACAAACACTTAACTACACTTTCCCTTCTGACAGCTCCTTGTAGGTAAAGGTCTGCATTTAGCTGTCTTTCCTCATTTCCTGACTATTCTGCATGCTGCTCTCTCTCACTGTAAAGCAACCTGGCTTCCCATGCAGCAGTCCATTGCAAAACATTCATTGCACAGGTCCTAGTTAATATTTGCCTCCTACCCAGCTGTAAATGGCTGGAAGAAGAGATGGTATTCCCTGAAAAATACATGTGGCCTTGACTTACTTTTATATCCAATGTAGTTCACTTTAGTGACAAATAAGCCACACCAGCTCCTCCTTTTGAAACATTTCATACACAGAAGTGGCGGGGTAGTAGCAAGGGACACGCAGAGCCGAGTTTAACACTTTAATGTCACTGCCTCCAAGTACGTACTTCTTCTGGACAGTTTATCTGACAAAGCACTCATGCCATGGTCTTTATTTAGTTGCCTTGTATGTGGTTTTCCTGTAACTTGCCAATGAGCTGATCATCATTCCTGAAGTTTCAGTTTACCTGTAAGGAGTGGAGAAGGGGGGTAGAGAAGGGGGAAAAGCGATTTTACAAAACACACCATTTGGACAGCAGCATACACATACAAAACCAAATTTTCTACAGACATCCAAAATGTAAAAGCAAGAGCATCCTCTGCCTACACCAGAGAGTTCACTTAAAACAAAAGAGTGACAACAAAACCTGCAGTAAAGCTTGACCAAGAATTCTAGCAAAGTCCTTTGGAAAATTAAGTTTCTGTCAAAAACAAGATAACATTACACAGGTGTCAAGCAAGCAACAAAACCAGACATAAGTAGTCACTTTGTAAGACAGATCTAACCACTAAAAGGAAACAAAGAATACTTAAATTTAGGGTGAGATAAGAATAACTAAGCAATCCAACAGGTTAAGCTTTACATTTTGCACCCATAACTTGTCTCCAGTCACAAGGGTGGATGTCTTACTAATATTGCATGCTAAAGCTCAACTTTAAAAAGTTTTATTTTTTCAAAATGCACACACACACACAAACTTCAAATATTGCAGTGGCAAAGCCTAAAAACTCTGGAAAGAATGGAAGAAACCTCTAGATTTTGTAGCTGCAATACCTGAGTGTATGGAGCACTTCTATTCTGGTCAGTATGGTTTCAAGCGACCACACAAGGCTTTTGCATTCCTTCTTAAGCAGAATAAACAGAGAAATACTACCCAAAATCCACAAACGTGAAACAGAAAACCCTGTTTAAAAAGCAGATGTTTGTTCACGTACCTAACAATTTTAGCCTTGTAGTGCCTTCTCTCCCAGTTTCAGTAATATGAAATGTCCCTGCAATACAACCGCAGCAACTCAAAAATCTCACTTCTGTAGAGAGAATGCCAATTTCACTGATGACACTGCCTGCATACTTAGTTTGGACAATTCTTTCAGCTCAAAGCTTGCTGAGCTTAACGCAAAACTGTACATGAAGTCTTTTAAGAAATAAGGAACAAAAAACCCAAACCAAACAACTCCACACTACCAACGAATCATGCTTATGGTTTGAACTACTGAAAAAGAAAAGGTCTGACTTCAAAGTTATTTTCCTAGTATTTCTCTTCCCATAGTTCAAATACAACTTACTACTGCTCCTTCAAATTTCTAAAATTGTCATCTTGAAAATAGAAATACAGAACACGTGGACCTAATTTAAGATACTGACATTTTGTTCTGTGCAGGATGTCCATCTTCTCCAAACCTGCCCTTTTACTTGCCTTAGGCACACTGCCAACTTTAAATGCCATTAAGAACAGGTTTTAAAGACTTATTGTGTCCCTAAGTCTGCATGCAGCGGAATTAGCAAACTTGTCCTTCAGGAACCTGTGCAAAACACATACTGTATCTTTTGTTTTCCAAATTTTCTGTCTCCGTTTTTTAAAAGATTTTACTTGTAAATAATTTATAAATACATGGACATGACAGATCCTTGCAAAGGCCAACACAATGAAAGAAACCCAGTCAAGACAGTAGCATAGAAAGCATCTAAGCCCCTCAATCCTGTATCAGCATGTCACTGTTCATTTAAGTGGCTTTAAACACTGATCACTGTCTACGGGGACTCATTACAGCAAGGGTGACCAACAGATCCTTAGCCTTTGAGCCAGAAAGAACACAGAAATTGTGATTCAAGGGCAACTCCATATCCTCTCTGCAAACAACATACTAGCATAGAGGTGTAAAGTGCCCCAATTTAGGGGCATACTTATATAAAAGAACTGCATTAACTTTTAAAGTAAAACTTTAAAACAGTTTAATCGAAAGCAGGTTGTGGGGGATGGGGTGGAGAATCAAACCCATGTATAGTCACTTGCTCCCAGGTACAACTACCAAGATGAGATCTAACCCACCGCAACAATTTACCGAGCACACACCTTGTTCCTTGCCGTACTGACTCCTACCAACAGGCCTCTTCAAGCTGCCCACCAGGGTCAAACCATGACAGCAAAGCAAGATAAAATTTCTAGCAGACTATACCTTGTTTCCAGTTTACCACGTCCCTGAGGTCCCAACTGGTCCCCTAGCTGACACGCTCAATACATAAACAAAATGCAGCTGATCATTTTACAGTGGCATGCATGAACACTGAGTCACAAAACATGATGCACAAGCACCTTCTAGAAGGGGATCTCATTATCCACTGTGGTATTCTGACACTGAAGTGATAACCACAAACCTTATTGCTTAAATGCCTCCTTTCCAGACAATCCTGCAAGATCCAGGACTACAGAAAAGTCATACCTGTAAGGAAAACCCACTATCCAAGACATTCTGATGAAGCTACACCAAAATGAAGTCACAGAAATAAAAGAATAATATCCACAGAGAGGACGGCAATGGTTGCATCTTTATTAGCTAAACTCCAGTTCAGTTTCGCGACAAATTATTACCTGCTCTAAATCTAGAATCTGAACAAAATGTTTGTTACAGGTACTGCCTGATCCTTCACCAAAGCCCGAGCCAGGGAGCAAGGCGGGTATCTGTAGCTCTACATAACTGGCCACTGGCTGATTCCAGCACAGCGAAGAGCTACCTATCCACCCACTTCCACCTCATGTCGAACTGAAGGTGACGAGAGCATCCAAACCACCTTGAAAGGAGCGATCCTATCAGTATTCAGATCAACTGAAAACAGCACCTCCTTTCGGCATCAGCTGGAAGGAGCTCATTTTGCAGTCAGCGCTTGGAAGATTTCAATGTCATTCCAATTCCCGATACCTGTCAAAATAAAGTAATGCGGACTTTAACGTGGAAAATTTTTTATTTAAGTCCAAAGCACCTTATTACTTTTCCACTAACATTTTCAAAGTGCAGTTAAGAGTCATTTAAAAGGACCAGAAAGGCTCATGCAGATAAAAATGTATGTATCAAAAATACAGTGACACAAAGTATTAAAAAAATAATGTATTATTCCTGGGGGGGAATCAGTAATATTGTTTACCAAAAAAAATAACGTAACGGGTATTTCTCAATTAAGGATTAATTTAAAATATCTGAATAGAGGATTCGGCATTTTAAACCAATTTTCATGCAAGAGTTTTATGCCAATCTCTCAGCTTTTACACCACTCCAGTTTCGCAACCTATATGAAAGGCAAGCATGTTCATTTAGCAACTCCAGCCCATTTTCTGCGAAGCTGAGCACACAGAAACGGTCCAAGCCAAACAACCACGCAGCTGCCGAATTTATGAAAATATAGACCTCCGGCATTTTGCTCAAGTCCCTGATGAAAACTCTCCAAACTTAGGAGCTGCTGCTGGAAACAAGCCTGAGCCTTGACTGAGCTCGGTAGCTCTCCACGGACAGCTGGCTGCGGCCAAGCCGTGGCTT